CCCCAAAACCCCAAAACCCCAAAACCCCAAAACCCCTAACTATCCACAAAAATTGAATACAATAATTTATTATCCATAAAATACCCCAATTTAAATGCTAACATGTTTCCTCCTAAGCTCTCTAAAATACTTCTTGGTTAGCCTCTTAATCCTACTTCTCTACTTCAGCTACACTACGATAATTCAGCCTTATTTCATGCGGAGGAGGTATAAGCGGTACCCAAACGTAGCCCTGTCTCCGAACTTCATTCCTGTTCTAGGCGAGATCAAAATCTGTATGGACAATATGAGCCAAGGTGAGTATAACGGTGGGGAAGGAGCCAGTGGGGGCAAGGGGACAGGGTGGAAGGATCAATGAGGGGTGTTTTAGTGAGGAGTGTGACTGATACGTGGATATAGGTAGATTTATATTTGAGCATTATGAGAAGGCAGCATTAGAAAAGGGGAAAGATCTTATGCTGATATTTTCAGGAGATTTACCACAGTTCTTACTTTTCTCAGTTAAGGCTCATGATGAGTTTTTGAAGCTCTTTCCGAAGAAATTAGACAGAAATGATTATTTTCGAGATACGATTCTCAAGATCAGCAGTGGGTCAATGGATCAGATGAGGACTACAAGCCTGCAGAAGAAGATTAAGAAGGAGTTAATGTCTTCCCTAGGATTGAATACCTTATCAAAGAAGATTCCTGAGATTATCCAGATCCTTCAGCAGCATCTGGCTTCATGGCCCACAAAAGATTTTGAAGATATTTCAGATTATTTAAGTTCTCTTACTTTTGATATCATTAATCACTCAATATTCGGTAAATGCTACACTAAGATCCCTGATTGTAGGTACATCAATGAATCTGGTACAGTGGAGACTCTTAAATTTGGGAAATGTTTCCGTAAGGTCTTGTCAGATACCCTGAATCATTATTTCACTCCTGTCGCTAAGTTCTTTCCTGCTGTTAGCAAGTACAACTTGGTCAAGCCTTATAGTACGGATAAGAAGAATGTAGATGAGATCGACCGTATTTTACTCAAGTTTGTTAAAGAAAATTTTAATCAAGAGTCAAGTCGTGCCTGAGCCTTTGAGGAGATCAAGAAAGGGCTAGATTTTGAGAACCAAGAGTTGTTGCTAAATGTTAAAATGCTGTTTGTAGCTGGAATGGAAACACTTGCTAACATGCTTTCATCATCGCTTCTGTACCTAAAGAGGTACTCAGAGCATGACAAATCCATCAAGCAAGAAGTAAGTCTTACCCTCACTTTGAGATTTTAGAGCATATTTGTTCTCTCCAATCCATTGATCAGAGCAGTGAACACCCTGAGGATACAGATTTTGCAACAAAGTTCGCTCAAAGCAAATTCGTAACGTTTTTAGATCATCTTTAGAATCTGACAAAGGAGAGTTTGTACCAATTAGACCATCTCTCAGTGTTCATGAAGGAAGTCATGAGACTTGATTCACCTATTCCAGAGAGTCTACCTTATAAAGCTCTTGATGATATCCAAATCTGTGGTGTTCCAATTCCGAAAGGCTCCTTTATAGCACTCAATAATGTCGGAAGACATCTGAACGCTGCTGAATGGAGAGAACCGATGGAGTTCAACCCAACAAGATTTGACCCAGAAAGTGAGTATTATGATTCGCCTCAGACAGGGAAACCAAGAGATGCGATATCTTACTCACCTTTCTCTATTGGTGAAAGAAAGTGCCCAGGTCAAGCGCTTGCCTTACTCGAAGGAAAAGTTGTGTTGTCTTACTTGCTAGCTCATGTTGACTATGAAATTCCAGAAGAAATGCTATCAAACCCAAACATCAGGTTTGGAGCAGGGTCTCATTTTAAGCTCAAAATGAGATTGACCAAGTTCTATTCTTCTCTTTAGTGATCTTTCCAATATCTGGAGTATCAAAGGGGTTTTGGGGTTTTGGGGTTTTGGGG